GGCGCCTGGGGCACATGCCCCCCCTAGCTTCCGCACTGCCCCCAACCACCCCCGTGCCTCCCCTTCCCCCACACTGAGCCACTATTACCTGGCTTCGCCCCATTTTTTCTATGTCCCGCAGGCTGCTCAGTCCGGGTACTGACGAGATGCCCCGCCTCCTGCACTGTACTGAGAGGCGTGCATTCCTTGTGACAGCCGCTGCTTGAGTCAGTGAGAGGCAGCCCAGTTGGTGACCGCTTGAGTGGACTGACTCAGATATTAAGATACTGGCCATCAACCATTCATCAACAGCTAAGGGTGGGACACCAAGGACTACAATATTTGAATAAGAGCAACCTGCACCAGGAACTTTCAATGAAAGTTTAAAATAGCTCTTTTACTGCATACTTTTGTGACATACAGCCAATGACATAGAGTACTCTATAATGTCTGCTGCATTGCCCACCCATTGTCAAGTATGGAGTTCAAAATACAGATTAAGTGCCAAAACCTATCAGAAATTTTACTTTAAAACTGAATCATGACAACTTTGGTTTGTATATTTATTGGACATGAACACTTACTCAACAATAAAAAAATTAAACATAAAAACAGCAAATAAAAAAAATCAGTAGGGGGAAAAATAGAAAGGAATATGTAAAAAATACAATATACTTTATATTTTATTTCCTTGTTCCTTTAAAAAAGCCATATCTTAATCATTAGGCTAGTAGCACATAGAAATGCCAAAACATCTGGAAACAAAACTGTGACTATTATCATTGACAAGCTATAGCCATCCCCACCTCAGTTTGTAATGCAAAATGAGCAGTGAGGGTTTGGGACTTGAAATGAAGTGAAAAATGTTAATGTCAATTGCTTCGATAAAACAACCTCCAAATTAGAAAGGGTGATTATGATGGCAGATTGGGCTGTTTTTAAACCTAATCTGTTTATAACAGCAATAAACAAGTCCTGCTACAAACATTATCCAATTGGCAATGATCTGATACAGAATAGGCAACATGGATAATTCACAATGACAACATCTGTTTGTATGCAGCCATCATACAATCACTTCTCTCATAGGCAACACAACTAGGAAATTCAGTTTTGGTGCCAACAGCAGAAACTGTAAGAAATGGACATACGTATGTAAAGACAAATGTTTTGGTGGTCCACCTGCTCAGCCTGGCTATAATCGAGGGGATTTATTCAAAAGCAAAGTGATCCATAGAGAGATACTTACATAATGTCAAGGCATCTATAGTTTAGCAAAAATATCAAAATATGTGGTTGCCATCAGCTTGGGAAAACAGCTAGGTTTGTTTACCCTAAATAACTGTAAGCTAAAGTTAAAGTGCCAGTTGTAATACTTGACTATATCTAAACATAATACACTGAGACTTTTTTGGTGCTAATAAAGTCATAATAAAGTACAATTCTCTCTAGTCTCCCTGCAGCTTCATGTGATGGATTGGAAACAATGCTGCACTGTTCTGAAATCTGAGCAAAGTAGCCACTCTCATGTAGGCTGTGCCTTCTTGTACAACAGGGGGATGAAAACAAAATGTTGCAGGGGTCGTCGCTATCAGTATTGTTATTGCTAATTTACAAGCCATTAGCTTGTCAATCAACACCTGCCCACACCTAGTCCTGCCCACTGCTTTGTGAATTGACAACACTACCTCTGAGGGTGAAACCCTCCCACTGTGAGCTGCAATGTCTGGGATGGGGGAGCATGTGAGGCACAAATGCAGGAGGATTTAGCTCACTCACCGAAAGTAAAGGATGTTTTTGTTTACTTTATGAGGCATTGTAATTGGATTGGGTACCTATTTAAACCAAAAAGCCTTTAAATGTACTTTAAATAGGAAGAAAAAGCCAAGCATTCACCCCTCTGTTCTGGTGCTCTCTTAGCAGCTGATTTTTACTTCTACTGTTTTGTCCTGCAATCAATTCAGGCATTGAACACTTAAAGACAAAAAGACTGATTGTCTTTAAAGTGCCTCATTATGGAGTGCCAACAGTACCATTTTAAATTATGTCTAGTTGGACAGTATGAGAATGCAATTTCTGACACCTTGTCAGATCTGTGAATCAGAGTTCCAGCTCATCAGAATTTGGAATACTCTTCTCTCATCCTGTGATTACTCTGGGTAATACCAAGGTCCTCATGCACGATTACATGGCACTTAATTGTCTTTTGGGATAAAGGAATCCTCAAGTCAAAACTGAAATTTACAGGCTAAGTATCTATCTGACAAAAAAAATGAAAGGTTATGTTGTTCCTCATACCAGGTTGATTCAATTCTTTCACTGCCAAGAACAATAAAATAATGATTTCTATACACTGGTTGTGTTTAGCTCAGTGTCAGAAAGCATGCACAAAAAAACAAAATGTGGTGAAGAAAACGAGTAATGAAATGCTTCAATAGAAATTTAATCTCCAACATCACTTAAGCTATGAATTTCACAGGTGATACCTGCCAGCCAATCATGAGCTACAGTAAGAGGGCTAGGGATCTACCTTCTTGGACATACATCCATATCTACTATATATGTCTCAATAACTTAAGAAGTAGCCATAAGGAAATCTAATAATTGTATCACCACCCAAACGTAGACATTAAAAAGAAAAAGATTAGATCTTATATTTGTAAGCGTGCTTCATTTGCGTGGGAATATTAGGATTTTTTTTTAATGCACACATTCTTTGCACTTTGAAATCTACAATATGTACACAGCCTTCTTCTGACTTCTATTTTTCATCCAGGCACAGATGAATTGCATCGTGCCATCCAACTGCTTTAAACCACTTTGTTTCTAGTAATCTGTTCTAAGAACACCAGATTCTGAAATTGCAAATGTGCAAGCTATGGTTCTTGATCATTTTATAGATGGATTTAACTTTACAAAATAATGTGACAAAACCCTCTAAAAAGCACATTAGAGAAGCTTGCCGAATATACCGTATTTTTCCGTCTATAAGACGCCCCTATGTATAAGACGCCCCCAACTTTTCTTACCCAAAATTCCGAAATCAATATTTTAAATGGTATAATGCATCACACTTACCTCAATCACGTTATGCTCCGACATTACAGCTCCGGGCACTAGCTACACGCTCTCCCGAGCGCCGGCTGACGTCAGGTACAAAAGATTTATTATCGGATTACAGAGACAAGATAACAGTTTTCCTCCAATCATAAATCTTTTGTACCTGACGTCAGCTGTTGCTGGGGAGACAGCTGACCTCAGGTACAAAAGATTTATGATTGGAGGAAAACTTATCTTGTCTCTGCAATCCGAAGTTTCACTTGTGAGGCTACGGTAGTTTGCAGTGGTATCGGCACTTTCGGCAGTTTCGCAACCGCGGTTCTCCTCTCGGCCCCCGTGTATAAGACGCCCCTCTATTTTTAGGTAAACATTTTAATTAAAAAGTAGCGTCTTACACACGGAAAAATATGGTAGTTGCAATGGATTATATAAAATATAACAATGCTCATGTCATTTGTTTTTTTTTTTAGTTTTGGATAGAGCAAGACCCCTTTCAAGCGGCCACTCCGATCGGGTCCGCCTGTCAGTTTTTCAGGCGGACCCAATCGGATTCCCAATGCAAGTCTACGGGCAGCCGTGTCATTTACACCTGGTTACCCCCACTCTGGCCGGGTCTGGAAAAACGAACGGAACAGTGTTCTGTTTCGCCAGACCGGATCGTCCAGGATCGGGAGTAATCTGATGTAAACAGACACATGTCCGTTTACTTCCGATTTCCCTTGGCATAGGGTCCGGTAATTGCAGTTTTATCCTATATCGCTAGATGGAGGAAAAAACTGCATGGACACGGATGTCACAGCCGTGACATCTGCTCCGTACTGCTCCGATCAGCAGGGGATCCGAGCATGGATTCTCTCCTAATCAGCCTGTGTGAAAGGGGCCTAAGGAAATGATAAGTAAGATTCCTGTCAGGTTTTCTTGCACTGTGAACCCTTGCAGCAATTCCAATTCACTTCCTGTCCGAAAGAAACAGCAGGAAGTAGGAGTAGAGTTCTTCAAACTGAGGGCATATTCCCTCTTTGACAGAAATAGTGAGGGGGAATTCCCCCTGTGGGGAAATAGACAGCTATAAAACCATGACCAATATTCTAACCCTTCCACATTCTTTCTAAAAGAAAATAAAAAAGGTTTTGATACACTTTAAGTAGTCTTTCCATTTTTAACATAGTTGCAGTGTTTACCGAACAGCATTAGCCGTTCACTGATTTCAATCGAGAATGCTCCTTAACAAAGGGATAGTCACTGTATAACTGAAGAATACTTGCTTATTTTTATTTATTCACTTTTATAAATATATGCACTTGATAGCATGCTAGACTGACTTTTTGCCAAGTGGCATTAAACATTTATTACCCAGTTTTTTAAATTTCTTGAGCGCTGGTTATGTCAAATCTTGTATAAATTGTAAAAATCACACTTGTATTCTGATAACAAGAAGAGCACTGTGGTGCATACATACGAAGCTCAATCTAAACAATCGTAAACCACCATAGGCTATATACACAGTAATCTAATCATCTGAAAGCACAAGCTGAAATTCAGACCTACAAGGGTTAAGGACTGCAGACAATTTATTATAAGAAACATACCATTTTGTTGTTTATTTCATGGAAATGAATTTCACAGACTTTCTCCACAACGTCTTCAATTTCAAAGGTTACAAAACCAAAACCTATAAAAGAAAATTATGATGTTTATTGCAACAGAAGAAAACAAACAAAAGCAACTCTTCAGTTTTTACACACTTTACAAACACAGTTTCTGTTTTAAGTAAAAGTGCCACAGACCATGCTGGATGTAAAACAAGATATCAGCTGACAAAAAAAAAAAAGCAAAACAAGCATGATCCTATAACAAGAAACTTCCTTATACTTATGCAGTAGAACAAGATCTACGAAGTCTTAAAGGGGAACTCCACTCCACTGTGGTGATCATGCTTCTCATTATAATAAAATGCACTCTTTGACCTCAGTGTAATACGTTGTTACACACAAACTGTCTATATAAATCTTATTCAATGCAGCACCACAATTATAAGCAGAAAAGTAAATCTTGATATTCCACCAACAATGATGTAGTATGTACGCTCTTTTATGTATACCATATTTTAATCTGTAGGTGTCACTGTTGCAGTTGCTGATTACAAAGCTTTTAGCCAGAGACCTAAACTTTTCTTTGACAGCAGTGGCAACAGTGACTCCTGTAAGATATTAAGGAATGCAGTATATTAAGAAGTTCTGTGATGTTAACAATACAGCATGAAACCCTAAATTTCAGCTATCTTTATGCTAGTGGAAAGAACATTATCTTTTTTTGTGATTTTTTTGAGTGGGGAAGAAGTAAATCCATTCTCTGTTTTTTTGTGAGTGGAATTCTTCACTTAGACAGTTGCCACCAGAACAGGTATCACCATTGGAAGGTTGATCCACACCTCCTGTTCTGATGATATAATTTTGGATTTATCTTTCTGTCTTCGTGGCTATGGTCATTAGGACAAAAAAAGAAGGTGATTCTCTCCAGTGGGGACAGAGACAAAAATAAAGAAAATTGATAGGGGGTCTAAACCCTTCCCCACGACATCCAAGGCCAACACTTGCCTGAAACAAGCCTGAAACACTTTAGGCTTTATTGAGGAAAGCTAGAAATATAAAGCTGACATAATCGATCAAGCCAATGGTCATTTTAGGTGCTTTTGCAGGGCATGCATGGCCTGTACAGTGATACACTACTAGATACTAAACTCCCAGTCCTTCCCATGTCCTGCGCTGCTGGTCTTCTGTATTAAATAATGTCCAGACTGGAATTGGGCTTTAAATCTAATAAATGCATTATTCAATATAGATTTGTAATTTTTCAAGCCCCATTGAACTCCCACATGTATGACCACTGTTAAATGGGGCACTGTGCAGGGGACATGTAGGACTGCTGAAGAACCAAGCTGCTGCACTCTAAGTGAGAGCAGCGTGCCAGCTCCCCAGCATGCTGCCGGCAGAGACAAATTCAAAATAAAATAATGCAATATTCTTTACTTGTTTTGAAGCCTGACTTCAAGTAAAAAAAAAGCCAAACTCCATTTGGGCTTTAATTGCTTACCCCTGAAGGTAATAACCTGTACACACTGATCAGAATTCACTCTACTGGCATCAAGCCACTACCAGATGGATTTTGATAGCTTGCCCTGGGTTATTGCACTTAGGATGTGAGACATCTTCATCTAAGTCCAAATATGTTTAATAATCTAGTGTAACAGATTGAAATGCTTATCTTTCTTGAGGAAATTCCTGCTCCAAGTTTTCTTTACTGCAGGGTCACCTGTCTAAAAGCCTAGAAATTAGATCATGTGATCCCTGCTAAAGAAAGTTCAACCTGCCTGATGCTCTTCAGCAGAGATCATGTGACTAAAATCCTAAGCTTTCAGGCATGTGGACAACATTAGAGGGAACCTGGAGCAGAAAATATTTCATTTCTCCACCCTAGCTGATTCAAACTAAATTTTGATACTTTTACAGGGCTATTCACAAAAGGGTGAAGAGTTTGGAGAAGGCAGGAGAAGTGAACAATCTAGGCCAACATAGCTGAACTGGAAATATTCTCCAGTTCTCCCTTCCAGTTCAAACCCTTCACCCTTTTGTGAATCACCCTGTTAGTGTCACAAAAACAAGTTTGCAACAAACATGTTCAGTTTTATGAGTTCCGTGGGTTATATTTAAATATGACACAAAGACTTATCTACAATGATCAAGTCAATGTGTCCATTCACATCATTTATTTTAAAGTGCACTTGCTTGTGAGTTTCTTTAACCATTGATGACCAGGGTGTTTACACCCCCTTCCTGTCCAGGCCATTTTTCAGTAGTCAGCGCTGTACTGAAATTTTATACCATTTTTTGGGGACAGATTTCATTTGGTGGTATTTAATCAACACATAGTATTTTTTTACTATATACCGTATTTGCCGGCGTATATGACGGGTTTTGAAACCTTAAAACATCCCCCAAAAATCGGGGGTCGTCTTATACGCCGGGTACATACAGAAGGATATGGTATACTGTATGTAGCTTCGGCTACATACAGTATACCATAATTTGAACACAAAAAAGTAGACGCCGGCAAAAACGGTAATGAAAAAAGGAACCAAAATGTTTTTTTAAAAAACAGTTTTCCCTACATTATAATAAAAAACATTTATTCTTACCCATATTTTTGGTAAAATATTAAACATGGAGTCACGTCGGGTAAATAGACACCAAACATGTCAAGCTTTATAATTGCGTGCGCCTGCGAAATCGCAATAAAATACTATACCCAAAATTGCCCATAGGCTATGCTTTAAAAGCATTTACCGATCATCAATTTAGTGTAATCAGTAAATAATGGCCCCAAAATTATTGCCCTCACTCTGACGTTCGCAGTGACATGTAACAGGTGCAGTGTAATGAGCGCAATCGTCGTTTTTGCACGTATGTGCACCAACCAACGCATGTTTGCACACGTGTGTGTGTGGGGCTGGGACTTTTTAAAAAAATTGTGTTTTTTTTACATTACTTTTTATGTGTGCCTTTAATTTTTGGAGGGGCACTTTATTTTTTTTTACTTTTTTTTTCTCCACTTAACTTTATTATCACATAGGGGGATAAGAATCCCCTTATGTGATAGCAAAGAGGATGTGACAGGTCCTCTTTATGGAGACATCAGGGGTCTTTAAGACCCCTAATGTTACCTAGGAATCTGCTTCACCAGCTTCTCTGGAGGTTCTGTAGCCGGAGAGTGACAGCAGAATGCGGAAGTGATGTAACATACATCACTTCCGCATTCTGACACCGGAGAGGAACTCGGAGGGAGTTTGTGTACTGATCTCCATCTGATCTCCTGCCACAAAGCTGCAGTGCTGGTCTCAGGCCCACCCATGGACAGCGGAGCTCGGGAGCAGCGCTACGGAGGGTGGGGACGGGGGGTGCATGATCGGCACCTCATACAAGCGATCCGTCGGCTCTATAGCAGGCGGATCGCTTGTATGTAAACACACAGCGCTGCCCGTTTTCAGTTAATGACAGTTTCCCGCTCGTGTGCCGTGCGGCACTAACAGACTGTTTAATTATAACTGCCGGCCGGGAAGCGGTAAAGGGTGACTTTACTCAGGTGCTGCACCAGCACCCAATGCACCTTAGCTATCCCACTACTACCTCAGTTGAAATCAGGATTTCTTGGTTCAGTACCATACCCCCATTTACAGACACTGCAGGGGCCCTTGGCTGCTGGGTATGGGGTGAATCATGCCCAAGTGGCAGAGATCAGCAGCAAGCTGGTCCAGGATCACGGCACTATAGCGACAGTGAAGGACAGGCTCAAGTCCTCTCTCAGTCCCCAGTACGAAGTGCTCCTCGTTCGTATCAGAAAACTGAAATCTCTGGAGGACTTGAGTTGATATAATAGAGAGCATGCTATCTTAACTGGCAGATAGGCCTTATATGAAGGTAAGTGTGCAATCAAATAAAGTGCTAATAAGGTAACAAATGTGCATCCACCATATATTGATTATTCTATCTCCTTGAATTTTCACTTTAAAGGAGAACTATGAGGTGAGTGCTTTTCCCTCATCCTCATAGTTCTAGCCGACCTGTGACAATGAAACTGTCACAGGTCGGCTCAGTAGATCGGGAAGTGAGCTAACACATACCAGCGTTCGCTCACTTATATAAGCTCCATTTTTTAAAAAGTCCAAGCCCCAGGACACACACGTGTGCAAACATGCGTCGGTTGGTGCACATACGTGCAAAAACGATTGCGCTCATTACACCGCACCTGTTACATATCACTGCGAACGTCAGAGTGAGGGCAGAGAGCTGTGACAGGGAAGGGACTGGATTCCCCCCTCTCCGCTCCGATCCTCCAGAGCTGACTGGCGGAACGGACGGGGGAGGGGGCGGGTACAGCTGGCTCTGCCTCTAGATAGGCAGAGCCAGCTGTCACTCACGCAGCTGGGCGAATCCAGACATAATTGTCAGGATCCGTTTCAGCTGCAGCGCCTCAGTATACCGCAAGCTGTAGCTCGCGGTATACTGCGGCGTCTCAGTATACCGCAAGCTATAGCTATAGCTGAGCTTAGGGTGACGGGAGGACACTACTTTGTGTCCTCCCGTCACACTTAGGAGAACTATGGGGAAAAGCCCTAACCCCATAGTTCTCCTTTAAGTGGTCTCTGCAGGGTTAAGTGATCTGCATTCTATATAAGAAGTGTATATGTGTTGCATTTTATGGGTCTATTGTTTACAAACATAAATAAACATTGTGAAAAAGATTTGGAATCCCCCCACTAAAATACTGCATATGCCCCCCATAACCCCATACATTTAAATAGTTAAAATATTCCTGGTAACCAATAATATTATAGAAGCTAATGTATATTAAGTGTAAATGGAGAAGAAAACTTCATAAGTTAATACCAGATGTGTCAGTAGTGATCTATTTCATTTATATACTTATACATTTTTTCTTTGTACAGTACCTAAACCTTAGTAGCTTATTTACCATGACATAATTTTCTGCAACTGAACCGCTTATCTGCAATACTGCAGCATTAGCACTTGACCATAAAAATCATCATTGCTTTAATGGACATTAAACGCCTGAGATAGCCTGATGAAAAAAAAATTATACCAAAGTGATCTTGAT